TCAGTGACACAAAAGCTTTCTCCACTTGTAACACTTAGCTTTCTCCTTCCGCTCCTTTTCTTCCATCTCCCTTTTTTTCTCTTTCTTTTCCTTCCCGATTTTTTGGAACCAAGAGACCTGACTTTCTACCACTTCTCTCAGGAAACTTAGAAGAGAACTTCACCCCTGGGAACTTGCTTTCCTCACATGTAGACGCAGCAGACTGGACTACAGCTTACCACCACCACCTGCTGCCATCAAGTCGACTCCCAGTCAAGGAGACCCCATGTGTGTCAGAGTAGAACTGTGCTCCGTGAGGTTTTCAATGGCTGATTTTTGGAAATAAATCGCAGGCCTTTCTTCTGAGGTGCCTCTGGGTAGACTCAAACCTCCAACCTTTCTCTGAATAGCTGAGCACGTTAACTGTTTGTACGACTCAGGGACCACAACTTAGGAAGCTGCCATCAGGGCTGAGATAGTTGAAGGAAGGAGTGAGAGTCTGGAGCCCTCTGCAAAGTGCTCTCCCCAGCCTACCCAGAGTGGTCTCCATAGGAAGCCTTGTGACTTCAGGGTTCCAAACCCTGATCACTCAGGTCTCTTCAGCTTTAGTGATATTTTTCTTCTTCTGTCCCGCCCACACTTGGCACCACAGGGGCAGGAGGAAAGCACTTGCTAGCCCTCACGCCAAGCATGCGGAGGCGGTGCTTTCTCTCGGGTGTCACAGAGGGTATGTCACCCTCTGTGAGGCACACCATGGCCAGTGCAGGGCTGTGACCTTGGGCAAGCAGCCTCCTTTGCCTCAGGAAGAGGCTCCCAAACAGGGGCCATAAAACGGGGCTGCAGAGACCAGTGAAGTAATGTCTGAAAACATTTGTGAGATCTTTGGCTTTCCAAAGCATTTTTCTTTCAAATTCTAGAATGAGGCTCTCCCTTAAAAGAAAAGAAAAGAAAAGAGAAGAAATTGGGCCATTTATGGCCTGGGTTTAAATACATTGTGTACAATAATCCCATGGCCTCGTGGTGGTTGAGTCCACAATCCTGGTGCAAGGCCAACTTGCAACCATTTGAATTATTTATCAATTTTTTTTTCTCATGCACACACGGATGTTAAAATCATTTTTTAATATAGTCTTAAAAATACACTCCAGGTTCATGACCTCAGCTTCGGGGAATCATTACCTCCTCATCAGTTGACAGCATCAGTAATCAGTCAGCTCCAAAGGGCTTGTTTGCTTTAAAAAGAGTGACTCAGCCCTGGTCTCTAGAGCATTTTCTGGTGGGATAGAGGTCTGGGTTCAAACTGAGTTTTTCACCACTGGGTAAGTTTGAGTAAAGGCAGGCTGGGACGATGGTGCTGCTTTTGCAGAAGATTGAACAAGGGGTTCATTTGGATTGCAGGAAGCTGCAGAGGTTCTAGAGCCTTCTTTGCAGTGAGAATTTCAGATGCAAGGCCTGCCAGGATCATTTGCCATCCGAAACGTGACCTGATCATATTGATTTTCTTTGAAGGTCCAAGACCAGGAGTCTGGGACATGAGGCAGAAAACACTGATGGATTTTCCAAGCTGTCCTTAAGCCTCAAACCATGAAAATTTGTACCAGCAGAAGAAGTGTGCTCATTGGAATTTTGCTCCTTTGGGAGTTGATGTGAAAATCCTGATAATCTTCGCAAACCAAGCCTCTTCAGAAGGCTGTGGGATGTATAGCACATATTAGGAATTCTTTGAACTGAAGTCTCTGATCAAACAGGATTGTTAGATTGGACTTTATGAAATTATTGATATTTAACCTTTTTTTTTTACTTACAAAAATGGCA